TTTTTTTTTTTTTTTTTTTTTATGTAATACATTAAAACGTTAGCTTTCAGTTTTATATGTTAAATAGCTTTTTGTCTTATCTTGTCTTACAATATAATTCTGAAATGTTCAACAAAAAAATATTATTCAGTTTCACGAACAGTGGAAAGTAAAAAAAAAAATCAAAAATCTATATAATTACATAAATTCTAATAATAATTCTGTTTTAATATTTTTCAAAGTATTCAAGTAAAAAGACTCGTTTAATATTTGACATTCCAAAAAACAACTATTTCTTTATCTTTACCATATTAGAAAAAAATTTATATAAGAAAAGAGATTAAAAATAATTGCTTACTTTGATCGACATAATAAATTCTACAACAAACATCGCCATTAATTAAACGCAATTCCTCCGATTCGAATCGAAATTTCACGGGAAAAAAAAAAAAATTTAAAAAGAATCTTCGATATTGTTTTAAATTTCACGAACCACGACGGTTCCTCGCGCGTCGAGCCTCGGCTTTGACGAGGAAAGAAGGAAAGGACAGGTGGAGCGGATGCGTCGTTACGGAGAACCCGAGGGAAATAGCGGGCAGGTCGAGCGCGAGTCCCTCTGCTGCTGGTCATTTTTCCCTTTTATGCGTTCCATCCGTTCGTGTCACTTGACGCCATGTTTGTGCGCGTACGCGGCGCAACAACCGTGAGAAGCAGGAAAAGGCACAAGCCAGCGTTCTGCCCTTTGAATATTTAGAAGGGCGCGGACATATTTTATTTAGAACATTCCGTTTCCGCCTCCCCAACTCCCGCACCGCCACTTTTCTTCCCCTCCGCCTTCGCCTCGCCTCGCCTCGCCGCGATGCGTTTGAATAATTTTTACCGCTTCTCCCCGACCCCGCCTCAATCTTTTGGCCAATTTGTCCCGTCCACCAGGCAAATTAGATTAAAAATATCAATGCCTTTTAAGGCGTAAGAAGAAATGGGATCGATTCGCGTTGCGTTGATCAAAGTAAGGAAATAGGAAGAGTTTGTCGAAATTTTAATGAACGAATCGCGCGTATTTGTATAGATAATTTGTAGAAATAATTCATTAAAATAATTGAATAATAATTAGTACATAAGAATATCTTAATATTATTTTTACTCTTGGTATACTTATCTCTTCTTCCCGTGTTCATTTATAGTGAAAACAATTTATCATGTTTATTCGTATTTATATATAACTATCAGAAAATATAAGAAGACGACAATAATCTGTTACGATGCTCTTTAGAAAATCGGAGAGAGAAGGGATCCCTTTGGGAGAGCGAAACGTTGCAATCCCTTTCTGGATGGCTTCGAAACAATTTATTCCGGGTCGAGCGGCCATCCAGAAACATCAGAGAATACACTTCCTTCTCCTTAATCCAGATTATATCGCAGAGATTTTCGTTTCACGTATTCTAGTGGCGCCACTCGCAACAACCCCCTTTGTTCAACGGTGTGTTCGCAAAAAGGAGAACGACACCGCGGGGCAGAGCGTGGCGCCCCTTTGAGCGCTTGGGGAGGACATATTTTATCCGGGTGCACCAGATAATCTCGGTTTCCGCTCCGATCGCGAAAGAAACAGCTTTTGTCTGTGCGTATCTTAGATATTCATCTTTCTTCCTAGAAAGTTGTCGGCGCGCGCGGTTTCGACTCAACCTTTCATTCCATTCCACTGAAACTTTCTTGTCTTTCCATCGATTCCATCGAAATAAACCCCTCTCTTGTCGTGATATTTCCGATGTATGCATACGGAAACCAAGATCACATATTTATCGAACAATCGTAACCACGTTTCGCAAGGATGGTGAAATGGCTGCTACAGTTTTACAGAGAGAAATATATTTCTTTGTTCGCTTCACGATGGTTCCAAGACTCACTTTTCCCTTATCTCATCATCATTTAACGATTAAACATAGCTATACTCATGTTACATATTCATATTTCTCTGAATGTCACGTATCCTTCTCTTACTTTTCACAACGTTAGAGTTGTTAATTTTGATCAACTTGCGTTTCAGGAGCAAAAATTGGTAAGGATAAAAATTTGTGTGAAGTGGTAATAAAATTTAATAAAAGGAGAGCTCGTGGAGCTCGACACGATCTTGAAAAACCAATCACATTATTAACATCAGACATCATTGAATGGAAAGCTAGCCTTACTTTTTGCTCCGAATCCCTCTTCGCCTCTTTCGAGTCGAATCGAATCGAAAATATTCCTGGTCGCTCGTATCGTGGAGCATAAAGAAAAAAAATAATCATTCCGATAGGGAGGCGATAAAAGGGGCGGTAAAGCGAGGAGAATGGGCTTTTTTTGCGGCGAGTGAAAAATGAGGGGTGAAACGGTTATCTCGGATTACCGGGGTGGGTCCGCGGAAAAAGATATTCGATCAACGCGCGGATCCGAGGTGTCCTTGCCGGATTACAAAAGGCCCGCGACCGTCCACTTAAATGCCTCTCCAACCCTCTCCAACCCTCTTCTGCCTTCGCATTATACAAATTCTAATCTTTGGCAAAAGCGATGGGGTATGAACGATTCGTTTCCTTTTTTCACCTCGTCATCCTTGCCTCCTAATTCTTCCTCGAAACGAAAGGAAGAATAAAAGTAAAGAGAGAAAAAAAAAAAAACAATATGGGAATATGGGCGAGCATTAATTCTTCTTTCGAGTTAAAAATACGTCAGAATTCGTTGGGGTGGTGGTTTTCGTTGCGAGAGAATCTCGTTTCCCTCGGGGAGGGGGGGAAAGAAGTCGAAGATAAGGTAACCGTAAGAATCGGATTAGTTTTGTTGCTCGATTACGCGATAAGGAGAGCTTCGGAACCAACAAACCTCTCCTCGACTAATTAACGGGGCTACATCCCGAGTTTGGATAATTAAGACGCCGTTGAACCGGGAGAGTCCTTTTATAAAAAGACTAGCAAATTCATTGCTCCATGAAAGAGCGAATCCAACGCGGTTCCACTTTCATCCCTGTATTCGTTTTATCCTTCTCTTGTTTCTGGATATATTTACGAGGGGGTAGTTTGTTCGAGCATATCGTTCGCGTATAATAAATCGGGATGACTGTCAAAAATGCAAAATGGCTCGATCGATACGAACGCGAGCCGACGTCGGATGGATTAATTTCTTGGAGAGGAGCGGCTGGAAGGAAAGGAAGGATCCGAGGCGAGGAGGGAAGGAGGGAAGGAGGGAGGGAGGGAGGTCGACAGGTGGAAACGAAAGGAAGGAAGGGAAGGCTGACGTCCGGCGTGGATAGAGTCTATTGTGGGAAATCGGGAGAAGTATGCGTTAATTAGGGCCGGCGCTGGCAATTTGTGGATTTGTGGGGAGCCTGATGCATACCGCCAATGGCCGACCTCGAGAGATAGTTACAACCACCGCCTGCTCCGTTGTTATTCGTCTACGGTTAACCAAGTTCGTTCGACGCCAGTTTTCTTCTCTACTCTAGGCTCATTGCTGTGTAACTTCGTGAAATTAATCGTGCTACTGATTATGATCTTGTTTAATTCACGCTCTAACATTTCGTCATTTTTCGATATAGATTAGTTAAGATGTTTGAAGTTGGAGATTTTTATCTTTCAAATAATTCATTTGTTCGAAGACGGAAATGTAATGAAAACTTCAAGAATTTAAAGATTTCGTGGCACGGATTAAATAATGATTTCATTAGAGGTAATATTCTCGGGCGAAAAATATATTCGGAAAGCAAATAACAATTGGATGAAATTTCAGTTTCCTGAAACGTTTGGAAATAATAGAGTTCTCGTTAAATGGCTCGATCAAATCGAAATGTCTATTTCTGGCAGAAACGTCGGGTCGACCCGTCGAATTTGCTTAGGAAGTCACCGATGACGCGAAAGCTTGGCCGAATTACGCGACCTGCATCCCTGAGATTAATCTCTAAACTAGCTTTGCGCCAGTTCTAATCAAGTTCTCGGCGAGGTTGCCCCAAATAACTTGTTCAAACGGCTTGAATACTAGGATCCCTCGATCAGCCAGGGGAGGAAAAATTCTAGGTCCCTTTAGAACCTAAAACCGTGCCGCCTCTGAGATCGTACAATTTGACTTTACCTCCGTTGATTGGCCTCTATAATGGTATATATATATATATATATATATATATATATATATATATGTATTCTTCTAATCCTAAGGTTTCGTGAAACCGCGACAAAGTTTTCCCTCGAGTTCCGCGTTTATTCCGCTCGAATTAAACTATGGACGGTTATTTTCCACGCGGTAGAAACACAGCTATCCGGGACAAATATTTACATTTGATCAATTCCAAAAGAAGAGTGGAAGGAGAATATTACAAGGTATATCAACGCTCCGTGTTCGTTCTTCCACGGTTAAAACTTGGTCGCGGAGGAAAGGAAAGTTTTTCACCTGCAACCCTCTTTGCCGGTCGACGCGGAGCGGTCCGCGAGAAGTGGAAAGAGAGAGTCGCGAGTCGGGAAATTGTTTCTGGCCAACTCTATTTGCCAGATGGAAACGAAAAGATATAGTGGGATTGCGTTAAACAATACCGCGTTATTGCTCCCGGCCGAAAGTCTCTCTCTCTCTCTCTCTCTCTCTCTCTCTCTCTCTCTCTCTCTCTCTCTCTGTGGATGTCTTCTCTTCTCTTCGCTATCCATTTCGACGCTTGAATTTTTAGATCAAGATGGAACAAGGCTGAAGCTTTTCCTCTTTCATATTCTTATAAGCATTTGAAAATCTTGAAGAAATGTATTTGATAAATATTTTTATGTCACGTTGATAGCATTGCTTAGATTGGAAAAATAGAAGCTAAGGAAGGAAAGTATAAAAAAAAAAAAAAAATCTTTCACCTACTAGTCCTGAATAAGAAATGAATATAATATTATTCCATTATCTCATAATTAGAGTGCGGGTTTTTATGTAACTGAAACGTGTTCAAATATTTGATTAGTATATAGAAAATATGTCGATCATTTTATTCACGAAAATTCGATTTTTTGTGTGAAAAAATCTGTAAAAAGAACTGAAAATTTTGTCATTGAAATCTATTCAGGAAATAGAGGAAAACGTGCCATTGAAATCCTTTTTTGATTTATCCCGATATCTCAATCGGTTGCCGAGATATCGAGGAATAAAAGTTTCCATAGCGTTTAATATAGACAGAGATTATGAATGGGCGAATCCCACGTCCTTCCAAGAATCGCGTACTACGTCCTTCCAGGAATCGCGTCTGTCATTTGTCTGGAATTTGAGATAGGTCAGTGAGACGAGGTGCGAGCGAGAGATCCGAGCAAGAGACAAGGATGGAGATGGTAAACGGTTAAAAATTACACTTTTCTTTACACGACGATATCTCGGAAACCGGAAGTCGTATCGGGATAAATCAAAAAGCGTTTTAAAGGGCAAGGATCCACGCTTTTAACGATCGCTCGTTTGTCGACCGGAAGTCATTATCTTCGGAGTTATAGCGGTTCAAATTTTTTCTTAATTTTAATAGAGTTTAATCGAGATTAAATTTTACGCTTTCATTTACACGAGGATATCTCGGAAACCGGAAGTCGTATCGGGATAAATCAAAAAGCGTTTTAAAGGGCAAGGATCCACGTTTTTAACGATCGCTTTTCATCGACCGGAAGTCACTATCTTCGGAGTTATAGCGGTTCAAATTTTTTCTAATTTTAATAGAGTTTAATCGAGGTTGAGATAATGATTGAATATTACATTTTCCTTTACACGAGGATATTCCGGAAACCGGAAGTCGTATCGAGATAAATCAAAAAGCGTTTTAAAGGGCAAGAGTCCACGTTTTAACGATCGTTCGTTCGTCGACCGGAAGTCACTATCTTCGGAGTTACAACGATTTAAATTCTTCCTAATTTTAATAAAGTTTCATTTTATAAGTAATAAGATAAACTACGCGATAAATATGTTTATTTCTGAAAGAATAACTCTTATATCGATAAGTTCGATTAAGTTCTCATTTTCAAACCAACAATCATAATTCTTCCGTTAAATTTCTCGAGCAAATCGAAAATAAATTACAGTCCGTTAATGAATACATACAATAACCAATAGTTTAAGATGCATAATGCTTTAAACTTCACCACCACACCGACTATCGATCTCCATAATCGCGGGAATAGCTCGGTATAATTCATGGTCAGTGATTTCGTGGAAGATAAATCGTGGAACGGATCTAACCAGCAATCCCCCCTCCACATCCATGTCGATTTAATCGTTGCCTCGAACGTCTCTACGAACGATTATTAATTCGACGCGTACAGGATCCCTCGAATATGGACCAATAACCGAATCCTTCGTTCGATGTTTAAGTTTCGCCGATGATCTTCGTGCCGAATCAGCTGGTCGGCGCACCAGCTGGCACGAACGTAACGATCGATTGTCACACGGAGGCTTATCCACGCGCGATGAGCTATTGGTTCCTCGGCGACGAGATGATACTGTCCAACGAGAAGTACACGACGAGCATCATGGAGAACAGTTACAGGGCGTACATGAGGCTGACCATAAGGAATCTACAGGCTGGTGATTTCGGCAATTATCGTTGCATCAGCAAGAACTCGCTGGGCGAGACAGAGGGCTCGATCAGGTTATATGGTAAGATGAATCATTTGTGAATAATGAAAGGAGCGATGAATAAGAAAATTATATGATGAATTAATTAAATAATAGATCGAGATTCTAGAATTTTTTAAATTAAAAGTTTAAATTCGTTTCTGATGCAATTTCTTATTTCCTCTCATCAATGGAATATCAATAGTATTGCAATTGTAACAACGTTGAATTGATTACGAAAAGTAATCAGCCAAAAGTTAAAATATATTAAAAAGTTAAAATATATTGTAACACAATTTTTGAATCGAAATTGGTTGTCTCGTAGCATTCGTAACTCGAATGATGATCGATCGATGATCGAAGATGGGTCGAGAATTAGCTTCGAATCAGAACCGATTCTTAAAGATAATTTTTATTTCAGAGATTCCAAAACCATCGGCTGCGCCGAAAGCCACGGAGATCAAGAGCAGCGCCAACAAAGAAGGTGAGAGGCTCATTGAATACATTGCACTTCAAGCCCCCTGTATCGATATCACGTAAGTCCTCTCCGACGCTTCCCTCTTCATCGAGACAATTCTTCTTCTTCTACATTGTATCCGTGTATTATTTTCACTATCTCCGTTAAAATCGCTCCCCTTTCGCATCTTTCGAATAATCCACGATCGGTTGGAACGTGGATGAAAATTTAATCAATTGGTCGAAAACGAAACTGAGCCGTAGAGAGATGAGATATTTAAATTTCGTAGCAATGTTCGATCGTTAAATTTCACGGGGAGATCAAGGGGTTTGCTCTTGTAATCCAAACAATTTAGACGAGGGTCCCGTGTCGATATCGATCGCTTGAAGTTCACGCTTGGTCGGAGAACAGTAGAAACGTTGTCTCGATTCCTTCGAGGGGACACGTTTCCCCACGATCGACTACGTACGTACATCCTCGATACGTTAACGACATCCGTTTTGTACCATGGTTAAATCTCTTTTCGATTCCATCCGACCTCTATCGCTCCATCCATTCATCCCGTTCATTACGTTTAAAAACTCAATAATTTTTGAGGAACTCGATTTTTTCATCAAAAGTCATGGGACACTTTTCATTAATGGTTAATTTTTCATTAATGGTTAATTTTTCATACGTGAATTTATTTTTGTAAATTTCTAAGAATTTAATTTTTTTTTTATAAGATTCTTCTTTCCATATATACTTATATAATTTGAAAAAATGAAATGACTTACTGTACACATTCTTATTCCCTATTGTGTCTAGTGACTTATAAATTAAAGTATATATATAATTCTAAACTTTTAAACTCTATTATCGATCTACGAAAGCTATATTCCTTTTCTCAAAAAAGGAAATATCGAAAGAGAATTCTCGATTTTCGAAAATAAATCTACGCCAAAATTTTATCGTTAATACCATCGAAGCTCTCAAAAAAAAAAAAAAAAACAAAACAAAACATTGCGAAATTCTCGACAAAGATAGAGATTTAATTAACCAAAGATCCAAGCGCCGAAGATCTATACGTTGACTCGGAAAAGCGTTGTTTCTCGAAAAATGGAAACATTGGGAGGGCCCTCTCGATCCTCGAGAATAGCTGCTCCACCTCTCGAATCTAATCTTTGCATTAGGCGGGTTAGCTCGGCGTGTGCACATTGGCGGGTGTATTATTAAAGCGGCGTGAATAAGTTGGGTTGATGCCTAGGTCAGATCCCTGTGGCTCTGGCCCCGTGTTCCCGTAGCGAAACCAATCTCAATATGCTGCATTATTAACGCCATACCAAGGCTCGGCCGCGGCGGTATTACCACCATTAAGCTTCGCGATTTTACTCCAACCTTACCTTGCCCGGCAAACCGTGGATTATTGTCGAATTGCGCCCCGTTACCCATTGGGCCGAATCTCGAACCCTGGGATTTCCACTTGGGACGAGATTCTTTGTTCCTTGACATTTTTCTCCCTATCCGCGTAATCGCGTCCCTCGAACACGTTGTTATCATCGATTCGATCGAATCGAAAAACGATTTCAAAGCGATTTCTCTTTCGTTTAATCATCGAATAGTGATGATCAGTCGACGGATGAATTTGGATCGAAAAACGACGCGACGGGAAATTGGATGGAAAGAGAAGGATGCGTTTAAAAAAAAAAAAATATTTAACGTTTGGGACACGTTCTGTTTGGTTAAAATATTTGATTAGGCGGCTGGTAAATTGTATAGCGGATTTAATTTAATAAATAATTGGTCCAGCGACGATGTAAAAAGGAAATAAATATCAGTTCACGGAATTAATTCATCTTTGATACGCGCGTTTTTTGATAAGATTAAAATATTTATTACCGCAAATCGATCAAAGTGTCCAGTTATTTATGAAAACGGTGGTATAAATGCATGGGTTCATGAATGAATGAATAGGTGTCGGAAGAAATATAGGACGCCCCAGTTTTTCCTCATACAAATTTTTGTCAATAAATTGTACGTGAAAAAATAAGAGTGTAACGTCAAATAATAAAGATCTATAAATGTTCGAATAAGTTAGAACAACAAAAATATGAAACGTAGTTAAATCAATTTCCATCTCAAAGTCTCGGATATATATGGATACGTATTTGCTCTTCTGTTGCCGAAATTTATTGTTAGATTTCGTTATAGTTTACAGTTTTATCCAATTGTACGAGCTTTGTCGTACAATTTGCCCTGTAACGAGCCAATGTATATAGTAATATAGTATATATCTTAAACCAACAAATAACATCTTTCCACTGATCGAGAAAAATAATGTAATCGTACTTTTTAAATTTTCATATATTCAGTATAATGTAACCTTTAACCCCAAATATATTCATAGACTTTCTACGCTTTCTATTCGACAAAATTCCAAGATAATAAAATTCGAGAAAAACACAAGAACAGTCAAATTCTGAAGAGGATTCGATCGACGAAAAAATTCATATCAGACATAATTTGAGTTTTAAACTTAAATTCCATTGATTTTACGTAACACGAAATCCGTGCGACGTATCTCTGTATTATATCTGATTCGTACATCGAATATAATTAACAAAAGTTTCGGTATCGTGCAATTTTCCTATACCTCGTCCGTTTAAAATTAGAAACGTCGGGAGGGAGAGGAAATATAAGGACGTAACGATCCTCTCGAATTATATTTCTGTCACGCTTCGAGTCAGTCACCGCCCAAATGTTTCCCAGTTTTATCGTAATATCGTAATGTACGGGGCGAATGATTGACTGCAACGAGAAAGTTTCGCGAAATCTGGCGTTGGCTCGTGTTCGTCGCCTTCCGTGCCTCGAAATCAATCTTAATATTAGCGAATTATTAATGACCCCGACCGTGGCGGGCAATAACTCACGAATGGGACGTTAAGCGCCACCGAACAGTTTCCAATGGGACCCGCGTTGCTCCTTATCTGGTCAGATAAGAGGGCGAAAGCGGAAGCGAGACCTTCGAGGTTGATGTATCGATCGACAACCCCGTGACACCTGGCTTTTCTCCATTCCCTAACAACACTGTGCCATCGTTTCCTCCGAATTCGAAATAACAATTTAACGGAAGAACGGAGGAAGAGAAGAGGATGGTAAGGAAGGATGGCCCTTCCAATTTTAAAATCTAATTCACAATTTGTATCGTATTGAAATTTTTCTTTGGATTTTGGGATTATAATGAAAAAGTGGAAACGGAAGAAAAATAATGAATCAAATTGAATATAATTCTGGGCATTGCTTTTTTCTTTGCATCAATCTGGATCGTTTGTGTTCCACGTTTTTTTTTTTTTTTTATTGTTTTTTGGATACTCATTGAAGTTTATATAAGTTGTTCGCTCGGTTAAATTAATTTAAAAATAAGTAAAAATCCTTTTTCGAAAGAATTCGAAAATTTGATCAGGAAATTTTTGAAATTCGAAATTTTGATTCTAAATTTAAACGATCTGGCGAAGAATTCACTATATATTGTGAAAATATTTATTATTAACGACAAGTTTTTTGCATCATTATCTGAAAATTATGATATACGAGGTATTAATTTTCAATTAACATTCTTTAAAAGATCGATTATAAAGGCCAAAAATAAACATCTCTGTTTTCATCTTTATCCAATCCAAACTTCGATTATTTGTAACTTAATAAAGTTACAAGCAAATGTTATCGATCTCGGGTCGTTCGATATCAAACAGTTAAAACTGACAGTTCGACTTGTCCAATATATATAATTTCCTTTTATCATCGTTGTAGATATAAACGAAAAACGATATAAACGAAAATTACCAAATTTTCATTTTTATACACAACAATAAAAAAAATCCACAAATCCACGCTTTCGAAATAAATATTGCACCCGAAGCAATCTGAGAATTAATGGACGAAGCGCGTTAAATTTCAAACGTTTGCTCAAATATTTTTCTCCTCGAATATGAAAATTATAAGAGAGATCTAGCTCGTCAACGGAGAAGCCATAATACCGATACGTTTCCCTCCCTCGTTTATAATAACGAGTAAGCAAAAAAAAAAAAAAAAAAAAGAAAAAAATCGACGCGTTTCGATCAAAATAGCTCGAGGCAAATCCGCATTCGACTTTCGAATGTATAAATTATTGAAAATATCGTATTGATTTCGATATTTATCGAGCCATATCGTCGAAGCCCATCCACGAATCTCGAGGAAGATTTTAATTTTATATCGGGACATTATATTGTCGGGTCGGCTACCCGCTGCTGACCTAATTAAGCGCATTTAAAATTCAATTACCGTTGTCCTGGCGGTCTCGTGCGAAGCTGAATTGTATTGTCGCGAACAGACATCGGATGGAACCGCTATTGACTCTTTTGAAAAAAAGAAAAAAAAGAAAAAATCGCGGAATCGGTCAAAAAATATTCCGAATGTGTGTGTACGTGTGTCCTCGGTTTAGATAGTGTATACAGTTGTTCGTTTTCGCGTGTAGTATTACAGTAGCGATAGGTTTTCGATCGAGGAAATTGTTATGTCTGCATTATTAGTCACAGTTTATTTTTAGAGTATCCTTAGTTTAAACTGATAAGATGTCGTGAATGTTTATATAATAATATTTATACAATTTTAATCGGTATCTATTCTAGATACGGTTGGTCGCAAAAAATATTCAGACAATTTCTATGCTATATCAGCAAGTATAAATAAGATAAGGAAACATAGGTGTTTTACATTTTACAGCGCACGAAAGAAATAAATTTTCATATCGCGAGAATATTTAGTTCTCTATGTTTGTATTTAATTCTATATATAAGTAAATTATTATTGAACCAAATATTAAATTTTTATACAAGATTTTTCGCGCTTTTTATAACTACTAACATTACTGGACATTATCTTTTTCTTTTGCTGTTTTAACAAGTTTTAACAAATTCGAGAGAGAAACTATGAAATATTTATTAAAATCTCTGCTTTATTACATCATTCGGCCGGACAAATAGCGAGAAGATTTATCAGCAAAAATA